CCCCATCTATCTATCTATCTATCTATCTATCTGAGCCCCATCTATCTATCTCTCTATCTATCTATCTATATGAGCCCCATCTATCTATCTATCTATCCATCTATCTATCTATCTATATGAGCCCCATCTATCTATCTATCTATCTATCTATCTGAGCCCCATCTATCTATTTATTTATCTATCTATCTGAGTCCCATCTATCTATCTATCTATCTATCTATCTATCTATCTATCTATCTATATGAGTCCCATCTATCTATCTATCTATCTATCTATCTATCTGAGCCATCTATCTGAGCCCCATCTATCTATCTATCTATCTATCTATCTATCTGAGCCCCATTTATCTATCTATCTGAGCCCCATCTATCTATCTATCTATCTATCTATCTATCTATCTATCTATCTATCTATCTATATGAGCCCCATCTATCTATCTATCTATCTATCTATCTATAAGCACAGGAATATTAGTAACTATTGCTACTACAAGACGTTTAAGCATTGAGAAAATGATCATCTGCTTATTTAGAAAAGTTCGCACATCGATGCCATCTCTTTCTTTACTTGGGAAGATCAACATTAAATATACCAGAGTCGAATAAATTTATCGCAGAACAAGGGGAATAACTCTTAAGATCGTCTACGAATAAGAAATAAATGACATGTCCGCATCTCAACAATAAACTCTTTTCGGGTAGGAATGTGTACAGCAGAATGGAAAATTACTCTGTGTATTTTTCTTAATTACACACACTCACAATTGATTTTAATCACTATCAGTTAATTTACATTTGAATATTTCTTGTAATAATTTTTATCTAATTACAGCAAATAATAATAATAATAATAAAGATGTGAATATTTTTTAATATGTAAAAAGGTATTAATATGTGTATTTATTTAAAGAAAAGTATTGAATTTATTTCGATCTGACTCCTCATGCCATCCTCTACCAAAAACCAGGCCGAAAAATGGAGTACTTATCTGAGCAGTGGCTGCACAGTCCTCTCTTTCCAGTCTTGATAGAGTTCAAAAGCGCCTACGAGTTCCTGTTGGAGAAGAATTATTTTTCACACACCAACCTCTCTCTCACGGCCGGAATGTAGTCTCTCACTACTCTATCGCTAATTCCTTGCGAAATGCTCGGAAGAACTACATTTCTTGGTTCCGACAGGTCTAAGCTCCACGGCTAGGACCCGCCATAGCACTTATATAGTAGCAAATCACTCACATTCCCCCTGTATTTCATCAGCTTCTTTCCGCGAGCACTGCACTGTGGAACAGAAGCAACCTGTACAAGGCAAGAGTTAACCGTTATCTTCTCCTCCTATCCATATAAACCTCACCCTAACGTAACCCTCTACCTCGAGTGGCTCCCGTGGTTTTTTTAATCTAGTAATTCCTCAAATTATCTGTTATAATATCATATATATATATATATATATATATATATAATATATATATAATATGAACATTAGTGAATATTGAAGTCAACACTTAGAGTCTCTAAGCGTTGATTTCAATGTTCACTTTTATATTTACACACGCTCTATCCCTGATATTGAGTTCTTTATCTCATAAATATAGCACATCTTAAGAGTATATTTCTTCATATATATATATATATATATATATATATATATATATATATATATATATATATAGGCTTTCATATGGGGAAGTGTATACATGTATTGATATTAGTATATAGGGGTGTAGATATGTTTAGATGTAAGCTTGTACAAGGTGAACCTACCGAAAAGATAAAAAATAAAGATAACACAAAAATTCTTAACAAATAATTACGTGTAGCAATTTACATGATGTATAAATTATAAATCAGGAATTAATTTTTCAAAGTCTTTACATTTTGATGGAATTAATTTTTCCAAATCTTTATATTTTGATGGAAGTAATTCCAGAGAAAACTAAATAAAAAATAGACAAAGGGAGGCAACTCGCCACTGCATTTCACATTTTAATCTTAAGTCACGATTAAGGTCGTATCTCAATTTTATTGAGGAAATATAATCTATAATAATAATAATAATAATAATAATAATAATAATACCATTTTTGAATCCGAATTGTCACTGGCTTTTAAAATACGTAATTATAATAAACTTGCTTTGTTCATCTTTAATTATCTCTAAATACACTGAAACTCACGAATGTCTGTATGAGTGTTTTAAAAATAAAGAATCAATAATCATTTTATTATCGTTTCATTTTGGTTCTTTGGAAATTGTGGCCAACGTAAAAAGTTGTCAAGACAAAGGGAGGTAACTCATATGACACTCTTGATTATTTTGGCGATTATCAAATTAGTAAGTATTGTTCAGTAATGAGATGAGCTTCACTTTTAGAAACATTATTTAATTATGCCAAATTTACACAATGTTAACCTTTCACTGTCCGTCTATTTATTTCAATTTGTTAAGATCTATCTATCTATCTATCTATCTATCTATCTATCTATCTATCTATCTATCTATCTATCTATCTATCTATCTATCTGTATGTGTTTATATATATATATATATTATAAGAGATTATAATAAAGATGATATGTTGAAATCGCTACACAAAAGCTTTCATGTTTCTATTCTTTGATAGTACTTCTTCAGGCGATGGTAATAACTGCGATCAAAGTGTTGAAACATGAAAGCTTTTGGGTAATTATTTCAACATATTATAATCGCTTATACTACTACTACTACTACTAATAATAATAATAATATATTGCTCTACTGAGCATTTTTTAAAAGTAAATGCTACAAACAGTGGATTTTTACTCCATCTATTCTTTTTCTCATTTGGAATAGTTGATAGCAGCTCGGAATGAGGAATCAGAGAGCCGAGTTCGAATTCCTGTTGAATCCATTACATTCACTTATATGCTAATATCCCTGAAAAAAGTATTAATCCTCTTCTCTCTCCAGCTCTGGGTAAATAGCAGAACAGACTGGGTTCTATAGCCTTGGAAGGAAAGTGGTCTAGAAGGACAACTCTGAATTCAATACCTGTGGAGGGTTGTTTGGGGACCTTGTGGCACGTAGCGCACTAGGTCTCTCTATTCGGCCCTTGAAAAAGTGTGGATGGTCCTGCACGAAATCTTCACTACTATAATCAAATCATATATGCTGGTGTCTGGCTGTCGGTTCCTAGGAACTGATCTGCTTGACCCTCGTACGTCGAATACGATGGGAGAGTCTACGATATATATATATATATATATATATATATATATATATATATATATATATATACATACAATTGGTTGTTTGAATACCCTTGATAAATGCGAGTGCATATATATATGTGTATGTGTGTATGTGTTTGTGTGTTTGTCTGTGTTTGTTTGTGTGTTTCTCTGTGTGTGTGTGTGTGTGTGCGTGCGCACGCGCGTATTTATCAAGGTAATCTAAACAAGCAGTTCAAAGAATTCGCATCATTTTATTTTTCGTTTTATTTTTCTTCAATTTCATTCAGAATCATTTCATTCGTTTAATGTTTTTTTAATGTTCATATACTTACATCTAAACATAACTACACCCCCATATACTAATATCATTATATATATACATTTCCCTATATGAAAACTTATATATATATATATATATATATATATATATATATATATATATATATATGATATTATAACAGATAATTTGAGTGAATTGCTAGATTAACATTTTCTCCATTTTAATGTTTTATTATTAGGCACCACAAAAATAGATTTTTTTTCTGAAATGAAAGCAAAAAATCGCACCTCCCGTTATTTAAAATTTGCCAAAAATCAGGTAATTATCCAAATCAGACAAGATTTTCATTACTTATTCTTTAAGGAATGAAACCTTTACTTATTATATCAATTTATTAGAAAACTTTGTGGCAATATTTTTAAGCATCAATCTCAACCTCGTTTTGGACATATCGTATTTGGCGGGTGACCGCGAAATTCTTTTACCATTATAGAAATATGCATCCTTAAAAATGTTATTGCAGTAAAAATCTATGCAATATCCAGTGTAAACATAATGAAATTTCGACCTGTACTTTACCAAAAATAATTGAGTAAAACTCAGAGTAATTTGTTTGGAAGTTAGTGTTTTCATTATTTAATAAAACATTATTTTCTTTCAAATTGGACAAGAAAAAAAAAAATCTACAATGAATATTTATTTTTTAAAAATTACCTTTAATTTTTTAAATTAGTCGAGTTACTGTTCGTAAGATTTTGGTTTTTGTTATTTTTAATTAATTGATTAATGTCAAGTTTAATGTCATTTTAGAAGGTGAAATATTTTTTAAGAATTTTATTTTTCATTTTTGAAACTGTTGGAATACTTTTTATAAGAAAGTTAAAAAATGAAATAATTCTGAATTACACCCTATGACAATATACTCTTCCCTGTCGAAAACGTATGATATTAATCTAATATCAGTTTAATATCTATCGTTCTTTATCAGTCAATTCCGTATTTTTATATTATATTTTATTTTATAAGGCTGTGCTATAAGGCTTTCATTGATCATCAGAATAAAATTCCAACATTAAAATTTGAAACCTAAACTTAATCTTTTAATTTCGTTTCTCAAACCACGGTAACGATTTGGATAAATATTTTGTTGTGAGTAGAAATGGTTTTAGTCGGTCCAAGAACCTCTCAGAAACTTTTCATTAGGGCAAGTCGATTTTTGAACGGTGGTATTTCACTCAATTTGAAAATCAGGATTTAACAGGATAAATAACGACACAAAATATTTATTAAAAAGTATCTGACTATATTTCTGAGATGAGGTCTTATGTACACTATTTACATTATTCGGACTATTGTCCTCATCTTTGTCGCCATATTTGTTACAACGTTTCAACCGGTGTACGCTCCGGTCTTTTTCAGGTGATTGGAATGTCGAATATGAACCCTTTATTTCGCTCACTGGGGTAGACAGTTCTAGTTCCACGTGACATGTCTAATGGGTGTCAGTTATCAGTTATCAGTTATCTTCTGTTAATTCCTCTCTCCAAATTCTCCACCGCCTTAACCAGATATTGAACTCACACTCTTTGGGTCCTGTCACTGGATCTAACTAGCGCCTTTATCCACTGGCTAAAGGCGTTAGTTAGACACATGACTCTCAGTGGATC